TGATATTTAATATTTCTTGTTTTTTTTTTTTTTTTTTTTTTTTTTTTTTTTTTTTTTGCGAACCAGGGATAGAACTCAGGCCCCTGTGCTTGCCAGGGAAGCGCTTATTCCACTGAGCCATCTCCTCGGCCCTCTTGTGTTTTTATGTGGAGTACATTCACAGTACTTCTCACTTGACTGATGTCTTTCACTAATTATAGATATAATTTCTGCCATTTTCTGGTCTCTTTAAGTTGATTTCTTTTTATTTTTGACTATTACATTGTATGGATTTACTACATTTTATCATTAATTTGTTGCAGAGGTGGTATCAGAACATCCAAATATAATACAAGGGAAATATAACTCTCAACCTGTTAGCTGTCTGATATACTAAGTTCATGTTCTCCAAAAGTCAAAGAATGATTTCTGGGAACAACGAAGCTTAACAGTGGGAAGATACTTAGTGATGGAAAGGTAGAAAGCTCCTGTCAGAGAAACAGAGGGGTCCTGAATGGATAGTCTAGGGACCCTACTTTACAGAGAAATTTCATAGAGCAGTATTCAAGTTGGTATGATATGGGTTACATCTGTGACTGACAATAGGGTACAAGTATAGGTACTTAGGTAATCAAAATCTAATGGGGGAAACAGGTGACTTAAGAGTGCATGCAAAGAGTGATTTTTTTTTTTTTTTTTTTGAAATGACTGGTCTAGAGGCCTTGGTCACCCACCAAGGTGACTGATGCCTCTCTAAGCTTCATTAGGCCTGCTGTTTGTCCTTTGAGGAAACATTAGGCCTGGTCGTCTTGCCTTTATCTTGAGGCCTGGTCTGTAACAGCTGTGTCTCCAGTCACATTTGGGACGTGTTTTACCTTTGTCCTGGCTCTCTTGAGGGCCTAGTCCTATCTGACTGCCTGTAATATGTCTACGTAGCTTAGCTGTCTGTAATACATTCACAGATGTTTGCTTTATTTATACTTTTGGGTTATTAGGGGTAATGCTTACCTGAACACTAGAACACAAGTTTTTATGCAGACATAACGTTTTCAACTTGAGCATTTGCGTATAGGTTTTTATGATGATGTGCGTTTCCTTGATGGCTAATGACATTGAGCAGTGTAATTTGTATATGTACCTTGTTTTTTTAATATTGAGGTTTAATAGTTCTTTTTCTTTTTTATTTTTTTGCGGTACCAGGGATTGAACTCAGGACCCTGCACTTGCCAGGCAAGCGGTTATTCTACTGAGCTCTTACTGGCCCTAATAGTTCCTTTTATATTTTAATTAGATATATGGTTTGCAGACATTTACACCATTCTGCAAGTTGTCTTTTTCATTTCTTTGTAGTATAAAATTTTTAGGTTTATTTTTAATTAAATTATTATTTATTTTTGCTTTTGACACAGGGCCTTGCTTTGTGGCTGTCGGCCAGCTTTGTATTCTCTGTAACCTAAGTTTTGAATTCCCAATCCTCCTGCCTCAGTGTGCAAACTGCTGGAATTATAGGCATCCACTACTTCACTCAGCTTTCAGTTTTTTTTCTTTTTGAGATAGGATTTCACTATGCAGTTCAGGCTGACCTTGAGCTTACTTTGTAGCCTAGGCTGATCTCCAACTTACAATGATCCTCCTGCCTCAACCTCTTGAGTGCTGGGATTACAGGTGTGTGCCACCATTCCCAGCATGCTTTCAAAAGGATTAGTGTTCATAAAGTCCAACTTAATGTTTTCATTTGTTACTTGTACGTTTGGTGTCATAAACAACTGTTAGTTAATCCAAGGTTATGAAACTTTACTATTTTTTGCTACAGTGTAATCAGTTTAGCTTCTCATTGTAAATCTTTTATATATTTCAGGAAAAGTTTTTATGTGATATGATGGAGGACTTCAATTTCTTTACCATGTAGATATTTACTTTACTATTATTTGTTGAATATTCTTTTACTGTTGACATGTCTTGATTCCTTTGCGGAGATTAATTGATGTAGGTACCTGCTTTTAAAAAACTCTTTAACATCTTTGCAAGCAAAAATGAATGTTTCAGAGAGTTTTTGGAAATGTGTTCAGATTACCTCTCTATTATGACCCAAATTCTGGGAGAAATCATCTAGAATTCTCATGTACCATTTATTATATCTTTATCCTTTTATTTTGTTTTATTTTTTATGTATTTGGTACAGGGTCTCACTCTGCAGGTCAAACACATACTTATCTTTCTGTTTTCAGCCTCTCCAGTGCTGGGATTACAGGCATGCCCCACCATGCCCAGACTTCGTGGCTGGCTCAGCATACCAGGGGGTGTGACTGGTGCTGCATGTGGTACCAGGGATCAAAACCTGGTCCCTGTACTTGCCTAAGTAGGGGCTTGTCCCCCTGAGCTGTCTAGCTGCTCTCTTTATCCATTTAGTGTGTTGTTTGTGAATGTTACCTTCATTTAGATGAGGAAACCTGAGCTCTTTTAATATTCAATTCTCTCTTTTTTGTTTGTGACATTGTAAACATGTAAGAATTGGTCCTAGTATTACAGAGGTTGCTTTGCCCCTCCTCCTCCTCTTCCTCTTCTTCCTCCTCTTCCTTCTTCTTTCATGTTTAGATGGAGGCGAAGGTGTATCTTTGAAGGAGTGATACTTATAATGCTGGGATAATGCTGAGTGGTTGATATTCTGCTTTCCCAGCTATAAAATATTATTTTGGTGAACAGAAAACAGTTATGTTTTCTTATATGTTACCATTCTTGAGTTCTTCTGAATTTCTGCAGTCATGAACTCAACAAGTGAAATTAGGTATTATAAATACATTTTTATATACACAATAGCCCCTAATAGTGGTTTAGGTAGTTAGAGCATTGAAAGATTATACTGATATTTAAAGTTAATTTAAAAAAATTACATCTGTACCTCTACTGTGACACTAGCACTCATAGGTTTTTGGTTCTGTTTTTTTTTTTTTTTCTTTTAACAGATTTTAAATGGGAAAAACTTTCTTTAGATCATATTAACATTTCTCCACTTCTGAATAATATTATTTTACTCAATAGGAGTCTGTTATTCAAGTGCTGCACAATACATATTAGTGTATGTTAGGGTGTGTTCTTCATACATACATTTTTAGTGTGTCTTTTTCTTAATATGCCCTTGTCATATGCCTTCAGTGGATGTGGTAATATGACATTTACTCAGAGTTCACTTTCCCCAAATCCCAAAGCATCGTGATCACACCTTTTCAAACCAGAAAGGTTTTTTTTTTGTTTTTTTGTTTTTTAATTAGCAAGAAAATAAGAAAAATTTTCTTTTGTGTTCAAGTCATACTTAGTTCATTATTTTCCTTCAGAAGGCAGTTTGGGGTCTCAGATGAAAATTGATCTATGGTTCAAGTAATGGTACTGTGTAACTCTTTACTGTTTGTGAGTATAACAGTAGTAACATAGAATGATAATGAAATGCTACTCAAAAAGCTTTCTGAATTTAGAGAATTCAAGAAAGGATTTCTATGGTAAAATGACTTTATATTGAGGGACCTAGCACTTAGTTGTGCATACTACTTGGTATTTAAAAAAATTATAAAGGTCTCTTTTGCTGTTTTTTTTTCATGTTTGTAGGAATGTTTGGAAATACATGATTGCAGTACACAATGATTATGCTTATTATGGGGAGTTGGGACATGTACATAACATGTCATGAATATGCTTTGATTAGTTTCTGTGTATTGTCTAACTTAAATATATTTATTTATTTATATTGTTAATTATTTTTTTTTGAGACAGAGTCTCACTTTGTAGTTCAGGCTGACCTTGAACTCACTGTAAAGCTGAGGCTGGCCTCAAACTCATGGAGATTTGTGGGGATTATAGGCATGCAGTGCCACACCTGACTTAAACATATAGTGTACTGCTGTGTGTTAGACTTTGCTTAGGGCGGTGGAGCTTTAGCTGTGAACAAAGGACACAATTCCTTGAGTTTACATGTCCTACTCATTAAGTTGCAGAGAAATAGAAAATGGGTTACACCTGATGGAGCAATCTGACGTTATTGGCTGACGCTGAAAGAAGAATGATGTGGAGTGTGTGCTGTACATATGTGGTTCCTCAGAATCTCTTATCTAGGCACCTTTGGGACTTGCTTGTTCTCATTGACCTCATTTCTATGTGTTCTACCTTCCACCCGCAAATGAATATATTCATTTCCCTCGAGGTGTATTTTGATAGTTTTATTTATCTTTTGTCCTTAACTATTTGGGTCTGTTGTACCCTTTCTGTTACCTTTTCTAAAATTCCTTTTCTGGGTTTGCTTTTCAGGGTTCCAAACTTAATTATTAATGATTCTTTCTTTTTTTTTTTGTGCTGGGAATTGAACTCAGGACACTTGTGCCATGGAGCTATATCCCTGGCCATCAGGGTTCAGAACTTAAAATGGTCCTTATCAACTTCATTCTCTTTTTCAGGCATGACAGTATGAGATGAACAGTTATAAAAAAAGATCATTCCTGGTTCTTTCCAGATTTGTCTCATTATGGAGCAGATTAAACACTGAAAAGAAATAACATAGTGGAAAAAATGTGCCTCATTTAGCTATTAAAATAATAACCAGTAGCATGGGAATTTCACGTTGAAAAAAATAACAGGCATTTGGCTTCTCTGTTTTTCTGACATCAACATTTGATATATACATGAACAAAAATGATTAAGAAATTTCTCAAAAATAGGAAGGGAAAAAGATATATAGGATAGCTTGAATAATTATGCTGCTGATTTCTGTTGGTCTACTGAAAGGAACAGTTAATTCTTCATGATTTTCTTTTAAATTCCTTACAACTTTTTAAAAACTAATTTTGCATGCATATATCTGGCAATCTAAACAGCCAAGTCAACCTTATGCACTACAACAACCGTTGCTGAAGTCCTATTATTTTGTTTATTGAAATTCTTATCATTTATATATATTTTTTATCATTTTGTATTCTCTTTAAAAAATAAAAATAAAAAAAAAGAAATTTCTCAATACTACTATTTAAAATTTTCAGGTTGTTATCCTTGTCCTGGGCCAAACATGAATCCTATTGCTCTTGGGAGCCGTTGGCTTGCTTATGCAGAAAATAAGGTAAGGTGTAGCCCATATTTGGGTTATTTGTAATGGAGCAAGAATATAAGGATTTTTCCATATAGAATAATATGTTTATTCTGTTGGTGATTATCAATTACTAGTGTTTACCTTACCAGTCTGCTTCGATTTTCATTGTACGATCAATATTTGGACCCCTTTAAGAATTTTTAAATGTTTGATTGTTATCCTTAAACGACGACTCAGTAGAATCTAATTTTTTTATTGGGTTTCTTATATATAAAGAAGTTTACTCCAGTAACATTAAAGTACAGCCCTGAGATTGCAATAGTAGCAGCGTGGAAGGACACAATTTCTGTGAAGGTACAGATCAGGAAACAGGAGTAACTTCTGTCGTCATTGATAGATTGGATACCTGGCTGTAAAATTATTTCTTTGGTCATTATGCCAACAAATAGATCTACAATAGGGTGTGGCTATATGTTTTAATAATCAAGTTACAAATCCTCATGTTCTTTTCCTGTTATTTATCAAACTGAGTTTCCACGGTTTTTATAGTAAATGAAGATATAGTGTTTATATATTAAGAAATTACTTTTGTGCTATTAAGCACAAAATCTAAATTTAAATTTCATATCAGAAAGCATAAAGTAATTTTTCTCATTTAGCATTCTCTATGGCAATGTAAAATAAAATCTAGAAAATAACTGTTGCACAAGGATCTCAAATCCAAGCTAAGCCTGGGCAATTTAACAAGATCCAGTTATAAAATAAAAAGTGAGGGCTGGGGAGATAACTTGGTGGCCTGAGCACCTGCCTGGCAAGTGCAAGCACAAGGATGTTAGTTCGATCCCCAGTACTGCATGTTGAACTGGCCAGTGCTGTGCTGACCACTGAAACTGGGTGTGGTAGACTATGCCTGTAATCCCAGCTCTGGGGAGGCTAAGGAAGGAGGATCACAATGAGTCCGAGCTGCGTGGCAAGACCCTGTACCAAATCAATCAATCAATCAATCAATCAATCAGTCAATCAATCTTAAAAACAAGAAAAGAGAAAAAAGAAATAAAAAGCAGCCTGAGGATATAGCTCAGTGTAAAACCCTGGTTTAATCCACAGTACTAGAAAAAGAGAAGAGAGATAATAGTGTAGACTCTAAAAATGGTTAATGATTTTATATGATTTTTATTGGTTGTAAGGTTATTGTATCTTTATGAAATAGTTTTTGACAAAATCTGGATATGGCATTTTGTGAAGTCACAGAACTATAGTAAATCTTTGTTTTAGATAGCTTTTGATGATGAGCGTTTCATTTATGTTGTAGTTTAGCTATTAGAATTATGAGTGACTATATTTGGGTTTTTTGTAATCTCAGCCTTGTGGCTAAAAGAGAGGAGTTTTTTTTTTTTTTTT